GCAATCCAACTAGTATTAATCCCCGGACACCTTCCGCTTATTTTCGGCCAGACGTCCCCAATAAACTCAGAGTCAGACCAGTAAATAATCGACTCATGTCCGGACCCCAGTTCCACGCCGTTCATGAGGGTCAATTTTGCTGTTAACTTTCCGCTGGATTTAGTTTGACACCTCCCGGAACGCAAGGATCATCGATATCGCATTATGAATGCCGGTACTGAGCTCATCATTACTGGGAGCTTGGTGGGAGCTGCATCGGGCTCATTAACTACTACAACCACTTCAGGTCAGTGTACTATTGATTGATGAAAAAGGCAAGTACGTGCTGCAGGATTAAATGTCAGCATTCTCTCTCTTTCTCGCTTTCTCGCCCATGTACATTATAATACATAATACCACAGCCAGTTCCTCGTGCTACAGAATCTCCACCATAAGATCTGGCAGATCGTGAAGTAATCCCACCATGCTCGATTCTAGCGAGCGCTCACGATGTTTCTCTCTCTTTTTATTGATTTTATGAACCACAACGCAAAAATATTCATGCCAATCAAGCATTTATTCAAAGCGAGGAAAGCTCGGTGGTGGATGACCCACACCTGCATTCCTTAAAGTCGTTTCCGTGAATTTACCCGGAGGAGCCCGTTCGATCCGGGCCTGAGCCATAAGGTCGCAGAATTGGTATTTTTATTTTTATTTGTTTTTATAGCTGCCGCCCACTGCCGCCTGCGCGTCGTACGGAGCGCTCACAACAATCCCTGTCATGTTTCTCTTTTTGTTTATTTATTTTTGTGAACCCAACCGAATCGAACAGACATGACCACATGTATGTTCTGAAGGCGACTGATGATACAGATAACATGTGCCATTAAGGCGATAATACAAGTGTATCAGCGCTTTCAACCACGAGAGGATTTAATCGCACAACGCTGCAAGGATTATAAAACACGAAACATACTAGAACGATCGCAACTCGGATGGATTTCGTTCGGGTACAGATAAGTAGTCCTCTCAGACAAAGAATATCGAACATACCTTATCTTGCTCAGGTTGCTCACAGTCTCATGCGCAGAGCCTCGATCTCGGAGCGCCTTGGTTCGAAACATCATCGGGTGGATACGGAACGAAGCGGACCGCCTGATCCGAGTTGGGTTGACCTTTGTTGATCTTCGCTTCCATCGCGGCGCACTGCACCCCACGCCACGATGTGCAAGTCTTGCCGATTCCCACCGTCACATTGAAAGCAGCTTGTGGTTTGAGACACGTCTTTCGCGGTATGTGCCTTTTCACCTTCTTCTCTCTCGAGTCTCAAGTCTCTGAATTTGCGGATTTGCTCGCTCCCCGGATGCCTTTTCACCTTCTTCTCTCTCGAATCTCACAGAACTCTTGCTTCCATTCTCTCTTAGTTAGCTGGATTTGCGAATTTGCTCGCTCCCCGGACGTCATTCATATCGCAGCCCGCTCTCGGTCTCGCGAGTTTGAGAGCCGAAAACACAACCCGCCTTGACCAATGCCATCCCCACCGTGAAGACACACACGTCGAAGGTGGGATTTTCTCATCCTTCTCCGCAGGCGGTCCTAACTGCAGCTCGTTCTAGGCCCCCCTTCGTCCGTGCGTCCTTCCGCAGGGGCTTCGTATCTAGCTTTGCTCCGCTCCCGAGTCCTTGGTCCAGGTGTGCGGTATTCGCTCTCCCTCTCGGGCGGACAGATGGCTGACTTACCTTTAAGAGGCTCGAGATTACCCTGGGCACCCTACCATCCTGAACCCTGAAACGATCTTGTAGAACCGACTTATTGGGACTTCGTATGCTTTTTGCGACGAGGCTCGGAGTCTCCGTCCTTCCTTTTTTGGCACGTTCGTGGCAATATTGACAGATGCTCCCAGCGTCGTCCCGACGAATGTACATCCCTGCCTTTAGCCAGGTCCTCGAACTCAGTCGTAACGCCCGCCGCTTCCAAGACCCCCAAATCTCCTCGTAGTATGACGATCCAGAGCAGTCGCAGAGTCGGCTTCACCAGATTCGTCACGGTCACAAGTATGTCGGGGGAGTGTAGTCTTGACCGTGGCTTCAGGAGGAAAAAGTATGAGTGTCGCTCTCCACCTACTTACCAGATATTCAATACCGGAGCGGAGCGCAGGCTTATCTTGCGTTGTGCACATTCTTCCTATATGTAAATATCAACCTACACGTGTACGCTTCACCCCGACATGCGGCTCAGCTTCTCGTTGAAGGCTGTCCAGGGATGCCCTGAACACCTCTATCCTCTTCTTTACTACCTCCGACCCCTCGTACTCGCCGTCGTTGACGATAAGGCGCAGGTCCGTGTCGTCATTGTCCTGGCTCGTCCTCATCCGGCACGGGTTACTCTCTACCAGTGCTCGGACCGTCTCCTCGTGTCCGGGGGCGATCCGGTTCAACCACAGCTCGGCCGTGGAACGGTCGGGCCGCGGGTGTTGTACGGTATTGCGGTGCTAAGAGAGGGTGTTGCGGTGCGCTTGAAGGACATAACAGACACTCCATTCTGCCTGTGTCAAAATGGAGAACGCCGCCCATACGGCTTGGTCGAATCCCGTGGCCCTGGGGTCGTGGAAGGGGACTTCCGGCTCGGGGACGTCTAATAGCTGGAGAACTGCAAACCAGTCAGCCGCCGGTCAATAGAGAAGAGTCGCAGACTGACTATAGGGAACCCCATTCTCTTTCAGCGTCTGCCTCTGCTCGTACAACAGGCCGCCGGAGTGGACTTCATAAATCCGGTCGCTGAACGCTACGGGAAATTGAGCATCAGGTTTCTGAGACTCTGAGTAGATTAATATACACACCTCGGAGAGCCCCGTCAACGACCTCGTACTCCTCGACGAGGACCATCTTCTTGTGATGTTCCTCCAGCATCGTTATGATCGTTTCGTGTTGTTGGATATGAAGGAGGCGATGGTGGCGATGGTGCTCCTTCATTTCTTTGAGCTCGCTTACGTTCTCCTTCATCTCTTCGAACTCGCTGGTGCGCGCATTGAACTGCTTCTCCAGCGCTTCGAACCGCGCTTCTAAGCCCTTCGCCCTGATTCCGGTTAACTCGTAATGACGACGGGCTGTTGAATGGAATCACTTCTTCTTGACCATGGCGTGCCCCCCGTCCGCCCCGTCGCGTTCGAATATAACGTCCCCACCGGGCCCATCCGCGCGCCGCATTCGCACATACTTTCCGTCGTCCCAGCTCTCGTCCGTCGGGACAGCCCTCTTGGACTGAAAGGAGTCCAGAGCCTGGATTGTAGGCTCTTTAAGAGGGATGCGCTGGTCTGGCTTTCCCGGCGATACAATAATGGCGAAGATAGTCATGGTAGGGGAAAAGGCTTGAATACTTAGGGGATTGCGTCTGATCCGGCACCTTAACCCCTGTCCGGCTGCCGGCACAGTCATGGAGCGAAACACCACCAAACAAGCCGTCTCGTTGGGAACGGGATGGACGACACCCATACATGGACACAAGACGCGCCTTCGCTTCGCTCCGGCAATCCGATAGCTCAGATTGACGCGCTACGATATATAAAGTCTGAATCGACTCGAATTCAAATATACACCAGTTTACAACCAGTTTAAAATGTATACGACGAAAAATCCTACCCGACTCTCTAAGCAAAAAATTCGAAATCCAATACAATGAGTAGAATTTGAAGAGAAAACCCCGTCTGTGGCTGCCGGATAGGATGCAGTTGAAGAGTGGATAGAAGCAAAGTTGGTTGACCATTGAATGGAAGAAATATTTGCATGGAGCGGTACTGAAAGTCCATAAAGGAAATAAACGGACGAGGAAGATCAGGCCGGTTACCACCGGCTGGGGGACATCCTCGACTGAGGGCGATCGAGAGAACTTCTCGGGCCGTAGGTCCTCAAGTGTCCCCCCTATTCCCTCTGGCACGACGATTTTTGGCTTCATCTTTATTACATTTCTGATCATCTGTCCCAGCTTACACCAATTGGGAAGAGGCCACCCCCTGGTCGTCAAAAACGGGGTCGGAAGGTATGGTTCATCATTCCCTGTTTATATGTACCAAAATCCACTCCCAGCAACAGCGCCATGATTTACTCGAGTTGACTCGCATTTGACAGTTTCATAGTATTAGTTGTTTTTGGCATACTTTTCCTTACATAAAATTTAAAATAGTAGTGCTTACATTTTGGATTTTTATTGGACCCCTAGTTATAATAGGGGCAGTCAGAGTCGCCGGTTCTGGGCGGTTATGAGGCAGTTCTGGCAGTCGGTTTTGAAAACAGTTTTGATTTAATAAATGTGGGAAATTTATTAAAACCAGCACCGCCGCTGAGGGCGGTTCTGGACTCGGTTTCATGACGTTCCGTTTCCGGTTTTCTCTTATCACAAAAATTTTAAAAAGACTACGAGAACCGGAACCAGAACCGTCTTTTAATTGCAGAACCGCCTCCGGAGGCGGTTCTACAAGGCGGTTTTGAGGCGGTTCCGGTTCTGGTTATGTTCTGACACCATCAAAAGACCAGAACCGTCACAGAACCGACTTTCAAAAAGGGTCGGTCAAAACTGAGGGCGGTTGTCACACGGTTTTGATATACATCAATTTCCAGAACCGTCTTCAGAACCGTCTTCAAAACCGCCCAGAACCGCCCTGTTTCTTTTTACTCTGACTGCCCCTAATATCTACACCAACCAAGCGTGCGTCCAAAGCAAGGAAGCTCAGTGGTTGATGGTCCACACCTGCATTCCTTGGCTCATAACGTATGGGATTTAAGCAGGAGGAGCCCGTTCGATTCGGGCCTGAGCCACTGTTCATCATCAGGGGCAAGGACATTTTTTTTAGCTGCGGCCTGCGCAGTTTAAAACCAGGCGTGCGGTCGTGATGCAATTCCACCGTGCTCGTCCAGTTGGATCACACCAATCACAGCGATGTTTCTCTCTTCTTTATTGTTTCCATTTTATGAACCAAATTCAAAAGAAATATTCACACCAATCAAGCTTGTATCCAGAGCAAGGAAGGCTCGGTGGTGGATGGTACCACGTCTGCTTTCAGTGTTGCATGGCTACGTAAATTAAGCAGAAGGAGCCCGTTCGATCCGGGCCTGAGCCATTCATCCGTCGTTGCTATTTCTTTTTAAGCTGTCGCCTGCGAAATTTAAAACCAGGTGTTCGGTCGTGGGACAATTCCACCATGCTCCTCCAGTTCGAGTGAGCGCTCACAACAATCACAGCAATGTCTCTTTCTTTCTTCTCCTTGTTTATGAACCACAACTCAAAAATATTCACACCAGTCAAGGTTGCATCTAAAGCAAGGAAGGCTCGGTGGTGGATGGTCCACACCTGTATTCCTTGTCGGCTAATCACTTGTCAAATTACGCAGGAAGAGCCCGTTCGATTCGGGCCTGAGCCATTCATCGATATGGTACATCTTTTTAGCAGCCGCCTGTGCATTGTACTTAGTATTGTAGAACCCGGCGTGCGGTCATGATATAATTCCACCGCGCTCATCCGGTTCAAGTGAGCGCTCACAACAATCGCAGTGATCTTTCTTTCTTTCTTTTTATTGATTTTATGAACCACAACCCCAAAGGATATTTCTAACCACTCAAGCGTGTATCAAAGTCAAGGAAGACTCGGTGGTGGATGGTACCACATCTACTTTCAGTACTGCACTAGCTACGCAAATTAAGCAGGAGGAACCCGTTCGATTCGGGTCCGAGCCATGTTCAATTCTTCTTTTTTTTTTTTGCTGCCGCCTGCGATATTTAAAACCAAGCGTGCCATCGTGCCAATTCCATCGCGCTCCTCCGATTCTAGCGAGCGCTCACAACAATCGCAGTAATGTTTCTCTCTTTCTTTTATGAACCATAGCTCAAAAATATTCACACCAATCAAGCGTTCATCCAAAGCAAGGAACGCTCGGTGGTGGACGGCCCACACCTGCATTCCTTACAATGTGCGTCTCGTTGGTGTGGATTTACGCAGGAGGAGTCCGTTCGATTCGGGCCCGAGCCATTCGTTAACAGGATACGTTCTTTTTAGCTGCCGCCTACGCATACCGGCGATGCAATTCCACCGATTTGAGAGAAAGCTCCACCTGGATCACAGCTAGATTTCTCTCTTGCTTTTCTTTCTTCTCTTGTCTAAATTTATGAACCACAGCTCAAAAATATTCACACCAATCAAGAGTGCTTCCAAAGCAAGGAAAAGGCTCGGTGCTGGATGGTCCGCGCCTGCATTTCTTGGACCAGATCGTCAGTGCTATCTTTTTTTTAGCTGCATAGAACCCGGCGTGCGGTTGGGATGCGTGCTCATCCAGTTCGACTGAGCTCAACAAAATCACAGCGATTTTTCTTTCTTTCTTCTTTTTTTCATGAATCACAACTCAAAAATATTCACACCGATCAAGCTTGTATACAAATGAAGGAAGGCTCGGTGGTGGACGGTCCACACCTGCCATTCCTTGAATTTCACCCCAGTGGATTTATGCAGGAGGAGCCCGTTCGATTCAGGCCCGAGCCATAAAATTTCGTTCAGGCGATTTTGTTTTATCCTTTCTTAGCTTGCCTGCACATTCAAGTTGTAACTTAGAACCGGTGTGTGGTGGTGATACAATTCCACCGCGCTCCTCAATGAGCACACCACCTGGATCACAACAATCACAGTGATGTTTCTCTCTTTTTATTAATTAATTTATGAACCACAACTCAAAAGAAAATTAGTATCTACACCAATCAAGCTTGTTTTTTATCCAATTCAAGGAAGGCTCGGTGGTGGATGGTCCACACCTGCATTTCGTAATTCATCCTCCGCAATGAGTCATTGACGCAGGAGGAGCCCGTTCGATCCGGGCCTGAGCCATTCGAATATTCGTCGATATCTTTCTTTTTCTTTTTTTAGCTGCCGCCTGCACGTCATAGAACCAGGCGTGCGATCTTGATACAATTCCACCCCTGCTCATCCGGTTCAGGTGAGCACTCAACGATCACAGCGACGTCTCCCTTTTTGTTTAAATTTATGAACCCCAACTCAAAAATATTCACACCAATCAAGCTTTTATCTATAGCAAAGAAGGCTCGGTGGTGGATGGTACCACGTCTGCTTTTCAGTAGTACTGCACAGGCTAGGCAAATTATGCAGTAGGAACCCGTTCGATTCGGGTCCGAGCCATATGGTCACGCCATTTTCCTTTTCCCCCTCCTTTTATCTGTCGCCCACTGCCCGACTGCGCGTTGTAGAACCCGTGCGGTCGTGACGCAATTCCACCGTGCTCGTCCAGTTGGATCACAACAATTACGGTGATGTTTCTCTCTTCCTTTTATGAGCTACAACGCAAAAGGGAATCGGTATTGACACTAATCAAGGTTGCATCTAAAGCAAGGAAGGCTCGGTGGTGGATGGTCCACACCTGACATTCCTTGGGGCTTTGTAAGGATTTACGCAGGAGGTGCCTGTTCGATTCGGGCCTGAGCCATATACCATTGAGTTTGTTTTTCTTTTCTTTCTTTTAGCTGCCGCCTGCGAAATTTAAAACCGGGCGTGCGGTCGTGACCTAATTCTACCATGCTCATCCGGTTCGAGAGAAAGTTCCACCTGGATCACAGCCAGGTTTCGCTCTTTCTTTCCTTTCTTCTCTTGTTTAAACCACAACTCAAGAATGTCTACACTAATAAAGCATGTATCCAAGGCAAGGAATGCTCAGTGGTGGATGGTCCACATCTATATTCCTTGATTCAGTTCGGTGAAGACTTACGCAGATGGGATGGCCGTCATGAAGTCTGCCCCGAAGTTCGCTGGACAACACATCTTACATGTGTGATATCATTCGCTGAAGGTCAAAGTACGCGCTCGCAGTAGGTCATCGACGATGTTCGAGTTCCAATCTTACCTCGCAGGGTTCTCCATTTGAAATACCCAGCCACAAACTTTATATTCCGGATAATGGGTGCCGCGCAATTGTCGTTAAATGGAATGGTGAAAAATAGGGAAGTCCAACAGTGGAAGTAGTCTACGTGCGCCATGCTACGCTAATGCGCAGACTGGGGGCAGAGTGCCCGGATTACGGATGAGTTCGATGAGGGTCGCAACGATTAGTCCATTTATATCTCTCCTTGTTTATGTGTCTAGCCTTTGCAGCGCAATCCGCCCCTACATATAGGTTGTGGACTGAGTCTGATGGTGCTTCCTAGTACATGACAGCGATCCCGACCCCCAATTGGTAAGGGCCAAGCATCCCACGAACATACACTGATTCACACCTCTCGCATGATTGACACTCAATCAGCAGCTTGGAGCTCACTCTGACTCTCTTATGTATCACCGAACAGGGGTCTGCGGAGTATAATTAGCCTCAGCGGAGCGCCATCCAACAGTCCGCGGACCCATTTCTGGATCCTTAGAAAGTCAAAAATGCGCAATTTCACGGCTGGACTAATCTGGGCCGTATCACTGCACTACTCAAGACACTATCTATGTCTACGGCTACGACTCAATGCTATTTACGGCTAGCGCGACTATACATATCGTTCCACGAGCCCAAGCGCCGTACCCGCGCCACCTTTCCTGCTCGTCACCGTTCCGTACCCACCCGTCCCGGATAAAAGGTTCGGCACTCAGCAAAGCATCGTTGCGGTAAATTTTGCTGTGTTGTGCTGCTCTCTCTGTCTTCGCCTGGCAGGGTTTCATCGCGGAAATTTTCGCTTCTTCCGAAGTTCCGATATAAACCATTGGAAATCATATTTGGCCTATCAGGTACAGCACCATCACAATTCCAAGGCTGGCGCTCCTTTGACTAAAGGACCCCTTTATTTACAGAGGAGAGTCCCGATCCTCGTCATTCGACTAATGATCCTCGCTCATAATTCCTGCTTTCGGAATTTACGTGGTCACAGTGGAGGCTGGTCATTTGCGGACCTACCACCGTCGGATCCCAGTCATAGCCTAGTGCAGAATGAGGAGATCACAATTGCGTTGGTGCTTGGCTCCAGGTGTAAAATACTGTCAATGCGACAACTCACAATGCTGTTCGGCAGATGTATATATACCAGTTTCGGTGAGACATCCGCCCCCACCTTGACGAAGGCAAATGTTACTATTGGAAGCGGCACTGAAAGATGTACCACGATTAGTATTTCTCCATTGGATCAGGGAGTAGCAGCCCGCTGTACATCTTGCAATCTGTGCACTACCACATTCAACTTTTTTTCAGGCCCCTTTAATTGGTCTCTCGGTCAGATCACTTGGGGCAGACATATATATGACCCTAATAGGGGTGGACTTGTCATGGGAGATGACCACCCCTAGGGGGTCTGACCTTTGGGGAGGCTCCCGCCCAGCTGGATGCTCCCGCCAATTATATGGTGGGAGCATCCAGCCTCCCATGCCATGGGTGCTCCCACCTGTATTTTGAGGCTGAGAGCCCCCATATGGCCGGGGGAAATTTTGGCTTTTTGGGCCCTGCTGGGCCCCGTTTGGTGCGCTGTTTGGGAAATAGGAAGCCTAATGTTCTAGAGCCTCCTGCCTGGTATATAGTGGACTCTGGAGTGCAATTTGCCGCACATAGCACGGCCCAGAAAAAATTGCTAGTTCCAGCAGGAAATTTTGGCTTTTTGGGCCCCGCTGGGCCCCGTTTGGTGCGCTGTTTTCAGCATGGGCAGCCTAATGTTCTAGAGCCTCCTGCCTGGTATGTAGTGGACCCTGGAGCACAATTTGCTGCGCGTAGCGCAGCCCAGAAAGAATTGCTGGTTCCAGCGGGAAATTTTGGCTTTTTGGGCCCCGCTGGGCCCCATTTGGTGCACTGTTTGGAGCACAAGCAGCCTAGCCTTCTATGGCCTGCTGCCTTGTATGTGGTGGACCCTAGAGCGCAATTTGCCATGCTACACGCGGCCCAGAAAACATTGCTCGTTCCAGCGGGAAATTTTGGCTTTTGGGGGCCCAGCGGCCTGTTTGGTGTGCTCATACTCTGGGTACCTTGATGCCTGTACTGTGCATTGATTAGAGCACTCTTGGAATATATAGAGTAGTTGCCCCTTGTCCATCCATCCACACTGCAGGTTGAGAAAAGATAGCCAAAACACATGTGGATGGGTCAGGCCTGCTGAATAGAACCCCCTCATAATCTGGCTTGTAAAATGATTTGTTCGGTCATGCGGATTGATAATACCGTTCAATATATCCACTTCCCTTTCATTATTTGTCCTTGTCAGTAACTCCGAACAGTATATTTACTTCATTCGGTTCAATTCCTTATCTTTATTGCTGTATATGTCTTTCATTCCTTGGGTTTATCAAGGATATTTCATTGGCTTGATTCATCATGCTTCTCAATAACAATGTACAATATACTGTACCGATCTGTATGGAAGAGACGTAACGCATAACACAGCTCGGTATTATTTCAGAGTATTTTACAAGGGAAACAGGTATAGTTCATTAAGCATTGCATCTTACTTGAGAAATTTAACTAGTTGGACTTGGATCCACTACAACGCCAACCTTTGTGCTCGACCTGACCGATCGCTCCCCAATGCGGAAACCCCGTTGACGTGCGGATCGCTGGGCCGAGCACAGCCATACTGGCTAACCACATGGGCATTGAGCTGTCTCTGAGTGAAGAGCACGGGCTCATAGTTGAGAACGTCACTGTTGGCGTTGATGTCGATGAGGGGGATCTGGCGGTCCTCGACGGTGCGTTTGAATGGGTGCATTGGAATGGGGGTTGGAATGGGGGCAGCATGGAGGTAGGCTTTGGAGGGAAGTGGGCGGGGCAGGATGAAAGGATGGTGCTCTTGCTGTCGGTGTCCATTGGTTAAATACCTGTTGCTCGTACATGCCACTCACCTACAACAACAATGTCTTTCCATTGTCCACCCGCTGCTCCAAATGCCAAGTCGGGATATTCAGCGTGCCACCCGTTTATTCGTGACTGTGGCTGCCATCGTTCATCAATTACCCGTTCCAGACATACAATGAAACTCACTTCGGCTTTGCTTCGGCGACCTAGCAACGCCAATCGCTTCAAGTACTTCGTATTAACTTCAAAATATAATAACAGGAATGTACTTGATAATACTACAAGATATACAGCGTATGTAGCACAGCAGAAACACTAAATAAGTAAGCTATGGAAACAATCTCCCGACCCATTGTATATATATCCAGCTGGTCGTCCTCGAACACGGGCACATAGCCCGCCCGAGCAGCGACCGAGCACCATTCGTTGGTCGTCTTGTCCACGTACCAGGTGCTCTTGTCCGCGAGATTGTGGGCCTCCGTTGTGCGCTCCAATTTGCCGTAGATGATAGGCGAGTACTCCTTCGACTGCCCTCGCCCGCGCTTCAGCCTGAACTTGACCAACGAGGCCTGCCGGGCTATCGTGTCGTCGTTCAGATACTGCTGACCCCGCTCTACCACAACCTGCTCGTGGTCATCGAACATCTGCAATTTCTTCTTGTTGAGGCGGCGGCCGGCTTGACGCAAAGTCGACGCCACGGGTGCACGAGCGTCGTGGTCGTCGCGGTGACGCGAAGTCGACGCCGCGTGTGCACGATGGTCGGGGTGATCGTCATGCCGCGTAGACGACGTGGTTCCACGCTCTTCAGCCCGGCCGGTACCAGAAACACGGCGGTGTTTCTTCGCACTCTGCGCATCGCCACGCATCTTGGAGCGCGAGCGACGCTTTTCGCGGGAACGAGAAATCGACCGAGCACGACCGCGAGGTTCAGTCGGCATGGCACGGGAGCGAGACCGCGATCTGCAGCGTGGTGGTGACACGGGAGAACGGGAGCGCGATGCGCGGCGAGTTCGGGAGAACGGGAGCGTGGTGATATGGGAGAAGCAGAGTATCTTGTGCGGCGCGGTGGCGAAGACGAGTCCGCTCGGGGCTGTTTGCGTGCCATGGTGGTGGTGGTGGTTGCCAGCGCGCCCTTCGGTGCCTTGCTCTTCGCCTTGGCCTTCGTCTTCGCCTTCTCCTTCTCCTGCTGCGCCTGCATCTTCTTACACGCATTCTGATATTCACCGAGTGACCCACGGTGGAAAGCTCGACCCCCGAGCGGGAAGTGATGGTCGGGATTCCTACTTGTTCCGTCAACGAACTGGCCATCTCATCTGACAAGTCTGATCAACGACATGCCACGAGGAATACGGGCGCGAATGACCTACCAGCAGTCCACTCTACGACACGCAGCGCTTGGTTGCAGAGCTCTTCGTCGTCACTTTCGTTCCCGCTGTCGTCCCCGTTTCGCGGAAGCCTGTGTCGAAGTTCCATCGCAGGTATGATCTGCGCCAGGTCCTTGTCGGCAAACGATGTTACTTGAAAGCCCCTCTTGGGGTGGTGGCCCTGCGCCGCCATGTTGTCATTCCAATTCTCGATGCGCATCTGGTTCTCGAAGGCATAGTCGTCCCAAGAGGCCCATTTCATGGCAAACAAACCTGAGGCTGCCTGCTGTGCCGTCATCTCGCCGCGGTCGACCAGAATTGCTTCTGAAATTCCCATGAGTACCGTTGTTAGCATTCCTGGCGACCACTCACGGATATCTGCCACGAGCCCATCTTTCACAAACTTGCGCTCGCCATCCCGTTTGCTTGTGGCATTGCCGTAGTCCATTAGACTCGGGTATTCCATTGACAACTGCTTCTTGGACTGCAGGAGCACCTTGGCGGTGGCACCGTCGATCTCCATCTCGAGAACGCTGAAAGCCGACGTCAGCCAATTCTTGGGGGGTAGGACAACGATCAACTCACTGCAGTTTCGACTCATACTCCCTCAATGTCTGTAGCGTCTCGCTGCTGTGGCATTGCTTCATCAACTTGAACGCGGGAGTGGCGCCAAAAGACTTGCTCCCCCCGCCGGTGGAGATGACCCAACCAATGAGATGGACGTTCAGCTCCTTCCAGGCCAATGCGCTCTGCATATAACATCGTTAGTATGATGTATTAGATTAACAATAACGGTAAAATATTACTCACATATTTGGCCATCTCGCGCGCAACCTGCTTAATGCCGCGTTGGAGGCCTCCGTTGCTAGCGTGCTGGGTGCGCACGGTGTCCTCCAAGTTCGCGTGCCACTCAACTAGCCACGGCAGGGCCGCCAGGACGACATCCCACTGTTTCAGCTCAGCGGTGCTAAGCTTGGCCGGTGTGAGCGCCTCCATGTATTTGGCGCGGTCGAGCTTGCCTCGCTCCGCTTTCGACACTATGGCAATAAGTCAGTATCTGAGGTACGGCCAAGGTTCAGAAACTCACCTTCGGGCCCGTGTTTCTGGTTGCCACCGCTCTCGGCGTAGAGCCAGCGCTCAAACATGTTCCAGCTGCTCAGCACACGCACGCTTCGCGGGCTGCCCTCGATTATCTCCCACAGCGTCGAGCTCGGCTTGTTCAGCGTGCGCGCCAGCTCCTCGACCTTACTCTCATACTCCTCTTTCCATTGATGCAGGAGATCGAGAAACTTCTGGTCGACCGGCCCGCCCTTGTAGTGTCCTGGGCTGGCGGCGTCGTCATCGTGGGCGGTCGTGGTCTTGGACGAGTTCTTCTGCGCGTTCTTCTGTCGTTGCTTCTTCTTCTTCCGCGCCGATGACGCGTCGGAGTCGGAGGTAGCAGTGTCATCGGAGTCGTCAGAGTCAAAGGACGCGGAGGGCGCTGCCTTCTTGTGCGTCGCCACCTTCTTGTTCTCCGCCCGGGCGTCGGCGGGTTTCTGCGACGCCGATTTCTTCTTCTGCGCCCGTCCGTCAGAGACGACGGTCGCTTGCTGGGACTGCTTCCGCCGTCCGACTGCCTTGGCTTTGCCCTTGCCCGCATTCTTTGCTTCCTCTGCGGCCACCTCCTGCTCGAACTCCTCATCCTCCTCTGCGTCATCTTCCACTTGCATGCGCAAATCTTTATAGGCAGAGGCGCTGCCACGCTTGTGTAGCAACTCCCACGTCTCTTTCCTGGCGCTGTCCGAGTAGTCGTCGTCAGTGGCATTGCCCGAGGAAATGTCGTCGAAGGGCGGGGGGGAGGCCTGGCGGTGAGGAGGTGAAGTGGTGATATCGAGGTACCCCTCCACATCCATGTCCTGGAAGTCGGAGGGCGCACCGCCGTCAACAGCATCGACATCCATCTCGTTGTCAGGCATCTCCTTGACAAGCTTTCGTGCTGCCAGGTGAGCTCTGAAATCGGCCGCAGTACGAGGGGCCTGCTCGTGCGCCGGCGTCGCTATCCTCGGCCCCCCTGGGGCCAAGAAATTCATTTGAGGGAGGCTGGGCGCGCTTGCGACGAGTGGGATTCGCTCTGCTGGGATGGGTCCTGCAGCCACGCTCGGGGGCAAGGGTGGCATTCCCAGCGAGTCGCGCAGTCCCGGCATGCCCAACGACTGCCGGACCTCGGGAGCCACAGGCATCAGCGTCTCTTGGAGCTGACGCCCCAGGTAGCGCACGTGGTCGCGCAGAAGGGGTGGTGCAGATCCTGCGGGGGGCTCCTGCTCGAGGGGAGGGGGAGATGTGGGCGTCGGTGGCACGGGCAAGGCTCGCGGTGCGGATGCTGATGGGAGCGCCTCCTCGACGTCAGGGGGCGCATGGACGGTGGAGGCGCTAGGTGCAGCCGGAACTTCGAGTTCGATGTCGGGGGGCGCAGGAAGTGGCTCGACGGCGGGTGGCGCTTCGACCGTCGGTGATGCGCACGGGGTGCGTGGCACGAGAAAGGTGTGCGGGGGATGGCGTCTGCGAGGGGCTTGTTTGCGACTTCGCAGCCTGCAAATTCCCAGTGTCAGTATTTCAATTATAAGATATGTGAGCAGACACACCTGGCACGCGTGTGCCGCTGGTTGTCGTTCCATGGGCGTTGTTTCGCGTGGTGGAGGCACGGTGTCGTGCTGGGGCGTTGTTTCGCGTGGTGGAGGCTTGATGCGTCTCTTGTCGGGCTTCCGGTTTCTTGGGGCTGGGGGCGGCAAGGCCTGCAGTGTTTCGTTCTGCAGTGCGGCGTGCTGCCGGGTGATGCGCATTGTCGGCTCGGCCATGGTCGCGACGTCGTGATATTTCTTGTACGATAATTTCCGAAAAAAAGGGGGGAGATGGGCAGTCAGATAGTGGGCGTGAAAAAGGGTTTCCAGGTACTTACAGGTCTCCAGAACACATTGTACTGCTTGGGTGGAATAGCCGAGGCCACCAAGAAATTACTTCATGTGGCGAAGACATTGTGTCCCTGACCGAGCCGTTTCGTCTTCACTATACTATTTAATATTCGGTACTATTCTATCTAACATTATAAGACACACTTATATATTTGTATCATTCCACTCGTATTTCTACACTACTCAGTCTATCGTAATAATATTCCACTCTTGCGCCCACTTGGACCGACACCGTTCTGCAATGGGAAGGTGGTGGTCAGGAGCAAGAGCAAAATAGGCGCCCAGAAGCATTGCCATGGAGCTTGACGTGCGATCGCTCGGCACGGCTCGGCAGAGTGGTCCGATCATGTGACCCAGACGTGTCGCGTCGCGTACCTAGAAAAATCGACAACTTGGCAATGCTGGAAAAAATGTATTATTGAGGTAGAAAAATGGATGAAAAAGGAACCAAAAAATGAAATCCAAAAGCTGATACCCCCGCTCGGAGTCGAACCGAGTTCATCACCGTAAATGGGAAAATAGACGAATCAAACAGTGATATGTTAGCCGTTACACCACGAGGGCATTGTTATCAGAGCGACTGTATTATATATAGCCCCCACCGCATTCTCACTTATTTTTTTTAAAAAAGAATTAAACACACTAGTCGTATTGGTATGCAAAATACAAAATCAATTTAAAATACCGACGGTGAGCTCTTCATTATCGCCTTGTTGAGCGCCAGGCAAAGGCTACTGGTATGGTACATATATTTGTCCCCACCCTCGATCTGAACCGAGACATAGTTGGCGCCGTACATCTTGGCATCGGTGGGATTTGGGCGTGTTTCTGCATACCGCCCGATGTTCTCCAGGAGTTCTCCGAAGTGACTGGGCCCGACAATGACCACACGTTGCGTTATCAGTGCGATAGAGGTCCCATCTCCCACCGTTCTGCGAGGTTTAATGGTCGGTGGCGGGACTTCCAGCGGGTTAGCCGTGTTGGACCCGGGACGAAAAACGTTGACTTTTTTCTTCGTCAGTGAGTCCTTGTTAACTCTGCGGTTGGGCGCGGTATTCGCAAGCACCAGGACACCAGTTTTCCCTTCCAGCGGGCCCCACTTTGGGCTGTTTTTCATGAGCCGATTGTCGAACGTTGCTATTCCCTTGAACACAATGTCCAGCCGCTTATTGATGAGCCCCTCGTTGCACAGCCATTCACCGGTGTCCTCGCCCGCAAGGGTCGGTTCGGGTGGAGGCGGCTTCGCACCCCACAACTCTTCTCCAGGCGGGGGCGTTTCTGGCGAAGGCGTGCGCGGACGTGGCAAAGGCTTGCTAGGCTGGGCACCTGTCAGAATCGCAGCGGGCAGAAAGAATGCCCAATCCAACGTCAAGTTAGTACTGTACTTGGTTAGAAAAAAAACCAGTGTGCAACTGAAAATGACTGACAATCGGTGGACGAGGTTCTCGATGGGAATGTCGTCTTTCTGGTTGGAGCCGTCCCACTGCACTGTACACAAAATGCCTCTGATGTCGCTGAGACCAGGTGTGCAGCGGCGGCGAGTCAGGGCAGCCAGCCGCTTCCTGCGCTCAGGACTCTCGCGCTCGTCCTTCACCACACCCAGTCGACCCTTGTTTATGTGCGTCTTGAAGGCGGTTTGAACTGGGAAACCCACGAAGTGCTGCTTTGTCTTCATGAGTTGGCCGATCCGCTCTTGATGAGCTTGGTCATGCCGGAGAATGTCCTCCACTGACGGTTCTGCCCTGTAGGCGTCGACTTTACGGAGGAGGAAATTGCGGAGTACATAGTAGTTGTTGGCCCCGGCTTCATCGTCGGGAGTGGGGCCCATTTCAGCGAGAGTGTTCTCATAGCGGCGCGCCTTTTGCTCTCGATGTTCGCGCTGCTCTGGTGAAAAAAACAGCTGGCGCTCGTGGATGCGCGATTTCAGTGCGCTGGGTGTACTCAGCGGAATACGAAGAAGCAAACAGCGTGTTGCTGTTGCCGAAAATCACGAATTGGACATCCGCCGACCGCACTCGGAACTGATAAGTACATTTAGTTTGAGTTGCACATGAATTGAGAACAAGCAAACATACCGAGCTCTGCAAAGTTTTGGTTTCAATATGTTCTGCGCGTGAAATCTTGATTTCATCATGCGTGGCGTCTTTGCCCTGTCAATCCAGATTGGTGCCGACAAGGGAATCTAAGAATAATAAACACTCACGTCGAATAATTCCAGACTCCCACCAGTGCCCAACGCCACAATCATACCGACCCGAGTTTCGTGAAGTCCTCGCACGACTTCAACGAGATCCCCACATTTGAAGTGTCGGCTGAGATATCGCAAACTGATATAGAAACAGTTGGTGTCAGAGAGACGTCCTTGGTCGAGGCCGGGGGTGTCGTTGGAGGGAGAAGGAATTTCGACTTTGACTTGGTCGTCGTTTATCTCGATGGCACGACCTGAAAGCCCACGGTGAACCAGTCCAGAAACAACGCGGACACGGTCCAGAGGTTGGAGGGGAAGTGGGTGGTCGAGGAGGTGTCATTTGAGACGGCCCAACTCGACGAAAAAGCCCGGCCCACGCTTCTGGATTGGCGTGGTTCCATCGTATTCATTTTGGATTTTGGCGTATCTGGCCGAACGCCTGTGACCTGACTTGTTTACAATTGGCACATCGCGTAACATTACGATGTATCCGGTCTGTCCCCTGTGGTCGCCCCCGACGACTACAACCCGATCGCCTTCTTCAAGCGCCGCACAAGGTCCCAAGAAGGGCGCAACGCGCAAAGCGGGATGCTGACTTGTTTGGAAAGGCGCCATTTCTTCGACGCTGGGTGTGGTTACCCGATCGGCCTGCGTCGAGTCGACAGCACGCGACAACTCGATCGGCTGACACGAGTTGTTGATTCCACGGGCAATGAGGATTTTGGTGGATGAGAGGATGAGGGCGACACGACCCTTGTTGGATCCCACACGGAAGCGAACCCAGCCGCCAACCGGCATTTGTTCGATGACGGGACCGTGGCGGAGCAAGGTGCCCAAGTTCGAGGTCTTGGAGGTTTCACCGACGTGTCACAGATCATGGTCGTATGATTTGAGTAAGGTGTTGATGGGAAGCGCTTCAGTAGAAGGGCTGGCACGAGCGGGCGCGTTGTCCGGGACCGCGAAAATGAAAGCAGAGCGCCTCAGCTCTCGCTGGTACGCTGGTGCATCTCTCTCGTAGCTGGCGGCGAGAGCGTGCAAATCTTCTGCATCGTCGTCGGCGACAAGACGCATGGGCGGTTCTGCATCATCATGCCGCGGCTCGTTATCAATAAACTCTAAACGGCTATGTTAATGCGAATAAGGACCCGCCGACAGACATGACTGACCGATATCAGAGAGTGTCTCCTCGTCTTCCTCGTCGCACTCCTCTTCCGCATTGCCCTCGTCGGAATCCTCCGCCGCCGTGTCAAAGTATTGTTCGACATTCTTCAAGGGACGGCGTGGGGGTGGGGAAGATTCTAGCTGCCTTCGTTTAGCTGGTGGAGGTGAAGACGGCCCCGCGCGACGTTCTGGAAGAAGCCCCCCGGAGAATGGAGTAGGGGTGCAGTAGTCGTATTGATATGGGGTCGGGCCCCACGAGCCCGGCATGAACAGTGGGGTTCCCACGCACGTGTCTGGGGTCGCACCCCACGAGTCGGGGAAGAAGACGGGCACGTCTGAGGTAGGGGTGACGGCGCGCGACTCCGAGGCAGGCGTGTATGCAGGGGTGGAGGCGTGTGACATCTGCTGTGCGGGCGGCGCGCCAAACCCAAATGCGGGGCTGACGGGGCGGGAGGGGGGCAAGTCGGCCATGTCCATATCTTCCCCGCGCGAAGGCGTCGCTGCACCCGCTTGCAACTGGTGCGTCGGGATTCGATACGGCACGGGGGCATGCAGTCGCGACTCGTGCATTCCTAGAAGGTACAGCATATCAAAGGCTTGATTATTGTGCCAATGCGCCTCAGCTTCTGCGGAGTCTTCGTCATCATCGCCATCGTCGTTGTTGAATGCTGCTGCAAATTAGTCGCCTATTCAAATTTCAGCTGTGACTAACGTACAGCGCTCGTCGTGGTCGGCGTCTTGTGCGCTGTCGTCGATGTATTGCATGGCAGCGGGGCGGCGGGAGGCGCTCATGGTGGACCTCTGGACAGCGGCGTTGTTAGCGTCGGTTAGCGCGGCGTCTCGGCGTGGACTATATCAATCAGATATTGGATTCTAACTACTGATTTTGTGAGGGCTTTAGCGCTCAATGCGCCGCCCACTGACTTCCCAAACGAGACGCACAACTTTGTATTCGGTATCTACTAACTACACTAATGCTACACACTATACAGGCGAAGACTTACCAGTGCGATGGTGGGTGTTAGGACGAAGAGGGAAAAGGTGGCTGTGCTGCGGCTACGGCTATCATGACGTGACATTCTTCGGCACGATCGTGCCGAAGGATCACACGTCATGGCGGACCATCTGGCCGTGTGCACAGCCTTTCGCTTCTTGGTCCTAACCACCATGTCGGTGGTGGGTCAAGAAGTGGGGCGCGGGGAAGACCGGGCGGGAAGGGCGGGGCTGGCGGGGGGAGTATATAGTGTAGAAATAAACTAATGCTACGCAAAGAACGCAGACAGGAAGTCGAAATGGACGGAGTAAGGCAAGGCAGCGCGCCAGGCAGCGCACGAGTTGCAGCACGCAGGCAGGACACGAGTTGGGCCAGGAAATGCGATGTCGTGCGCCGTTGAGACAGCTGCATCTGCTCTGAGGGTCGTCCTTGGCCACGATCCAGACGTGCGTCAGGCGGCGTCAGTGGGCGGGGCGAGGCGGGATTTTGATGGAAACGCAGCGGGACGCCCAATGAGGCAAGCCATAAATAACATTGTTCTCAAAAGTGAGTGGCAGACACGGAGATTCAACACGCGTCTGACTTATAATTATTGATAGTCCACCTGCTTCACACGCCCAGCGTCCTTCCCATGCCCGCCATGGGTTTCATGAAACTCACCAAACGTGAAAAGGCGCAGGCCTTGGACACTGAAGAATACTCCTACGTTTTGGTCGACGGCCCCAGCAATCCCCACTATCTCAAAAAAGACAAGAAGGGCCAGGAACCGTTGGTATACGTCGCCAACAACCGTACGCTCATCCAGAGACTCGTGGCGGCTCCCCGATTGCTGCAGTTTCCGGAGGGTACCAACGCTGTCCGACGAGCAGCTGGCGTCAGACGACCTAGGACAGTACAATTTCGACCTGGCTGGCCCAGACGACACCACCCCAATTTCCCCACGTAAGCGGGACGCGCCTTCGCTGACGAAAAAAAAGACAGTACCACGCGGCGTGGGAAGCCCAGGGGGAAGCTTGGCGGCTTGAAGTCATCCCGAGGCTGGTGCACGTCTTTATCCACCTGTGGCACAAAACTCGAGGACTGCGGGAAGCCGATGCGCTGCCACCGCCACGCGAGATACCATGTAACTGCGGCGCCGCCGTATCGTGCACCGTCACATTGGTACGCTTTACCAGTAAGTTACTAGTCCCCCGACCACGAGCATACATTGATTTCTCCTAG